CGCTAGTCCTCTCCTTCCCTGGCTCCTGTTTCACGAGGAGTTTTACCTCCGTGTAGGGCTCTCAATCCACACAAATCCTTGCAGCACTTGGATTAGCCTCGATTTCTAAATCTTCCTGTGTTCACACGCCTCACCCACCAAGCTGCAATACAGTTTTCCGCCAGCAGGTGCTGCACGTTAGCACCAGGCAGCGCTCAGAATCCCAGTCTGAGACTGTGGTGGGGGGTTTTAAGCAACTCACTGTGTGTGCTGATGGTGGAGAAGAGAACCATACAGCCCAAGGGCTACTAGTCAGGTGAGGCTGAGCAGAGGCCGGCAAAAACGTTTTAAGCAAACTCAAGACAGAACGTAACCCGAACTGACACAAGTGCCCACCCTTTAAGGCTTCTGACCAGTAGACACACTGGGATGAGCACAGGAAATTCTTCTTCAAGTTTTCAGACAACAAAGAGAAAGCGAGAAATACAGAGAAATCTACCTAAAGGAATTTGCAATTACTAGAGAAGTTAGTAATAGTGCCTTTGGAATGAAACCCTAAAGCCGGAAGCATGCTGTACGGCTGAAGGGCTATTTACTCGTGCAAAGAGCCACCTGAAGGCTGACACTGCCACAGGCACATGCTGTCAGCCTGCAGCACTGCAGGCCAGGGACTGGCTAGAGGACATCACACCAGCAGTCGGACAAGAGGAGGAATGGGTTTCGCTTCAGATGAGACCCAGGGAAAACGAGATTCTCAATAGAAAGTAATACTTGAAAGTGGCAAATGGGGCTCTGGAACTTGCCCCATCCCCCGCAACTGCAGCTGTTTGGCAAATAGCACATATGTGTATGTCTGTGGGGACAGGGTCTTCATGGCCCTGGAAAAGGTTAAGACCCACAATGCCTCACTCAGGACAGATGTGAAACATGAACGGACATACTAACGTTCTCCCCGAGTACCGACACACCGATGGAGTGATCCCTAAGAGGCAGAAGCCCATCTCCCAATTCTGGAAAAGCACAGGGAAGATCTGCTTTGTGACTGAAGGTAAAGACCCCAAGAGGTACCAGCAGAACGGTGCTAGCGTCTGCACTACTGATTTACTGCTGAGAGCTTTCAAAAGTAATGACCATTCCAAAACTAGAAAAACGAGACTCGATGGTTTTTGAAAAGACAGGTTGTTTCTCTCTGTCACGAACCCTCATCACAGCCTCCATGCAGGCTGACAGGCAGGACCCTCAGCCTAGGCTGCCTGGAGCTCCTGCGCCAACAGCACTCGGTCCGAACCACTGCCAGGACACTTTGTTCCACAGCTCCTCAGGGGACTTGGAGCTGGAAGGGCCCCTCCTGCCTCCTACTTCTACAGGTCTGTGACAGTCACATTTGCTTCTAAAAAAGCAGCACAGAAAGACCACAGAGTGTCAGGAGCAGCGCCAGACCCATGTGGCAGCACGTTGTTCAACAGGATTGTAAAACCACAGCAAACCTTAATATCCACATCAAGCTTTAAAAGCACAAATCCCAAAGCCAACCACACTTGAGACCTGGGCGTTATCCTGAGCTTTGCAATGTTACTGGGCATAGCCCCTCGTCCTGTGGAGGGCAGCTCACTGTCCCGATACTGGGAGCTTTCCAGACAGGTTAGGGGACACTGACGTAAGGCCCTGGGGTGCAGCAAGGGAACATTAAAAACAGGAACAAAACAGGCAAACACAAACTGCACACCCACACAGCGTGTCTGTGATGAGTCCTGTGGGCAGCCATGGTGCGGACAGCCCGCAGACCCCGGAGGCTGCACTGCCTTGCCCCACCGTCTAATAAGGGGAGGAGGATGGCACGGCCCAACATGCTGCAGTGCTAAGCCGGCAGAAAAGCTTGAACCTGTGCTACCACACTGTGTCACTGTGTGCTCAGGGTTCCCAGGGCCTGACTCCGTGGGTGCACACTGCGGAACAAGCCAACTGGGGCTGACAGCGCCTTTTACACACACTGAAAACTAGAATTTAGTATCTTTACCTTACAGATTAGAAATAAACTCAGAGAAGTGAAGCAGTAATTCCAAATCATATTGGACTCCTAGATGAGTCAGGATTTCAACCCCGCTTGTCTTACTGCAAGGCCCTTTGCAACTGGCCACCCCGGCCACTACCCAGGACAGACTGGCTGCCACTCTTCCCGCACCATGCTCAGACGGGGTTGCACAGTGCAGCGAGCGTGCCAGTGAGGAGCCCAGCTAATCCGAGAAGCGACCACACTGCCACAGACTTTTCATTTCCCATCCAGCGCCAGGGGCTCGCTCCACAGCTGCAGGGCTCCGTGGAGACCCAAGAGAAACCTGTGCCCCAGGCTTACATTTCATCAGTGTTTGCTCCTCAGTGTTTATTTACGTCCTTACTGAGTCAAACACCTTCGAAACCAGTCTTATAATTGTAGGTCTTTAAAACAGTAGGCAAAAAAGTCCTCTCTAAGCTACATTCTCTTAGCCACACGTGCAGCTAGGGGACGGCAAGACTCTCATGAAACAGGAAAAGCAAGTCACAACCAATGCCTCAGGGCTTGGGTTCCAATCTTAGGAGAGAGTGATGGTGAGTCCCGAAATCCTGTAGGTGTGAGCACGCTGTTCTGTACATAAACATGCCAGGTTGAAAGCTTGGCGGTGTGGCTGCCACGGACATCACAGGAAGCTGAGCAGCATTCCTGGACAGAGGACAGGAACGTCTCCCCCCAGCCTAACAATCAAAACGCCCGCAAACACTGTCCCAGTCCTCTAAACTCCCTGACCAAGAGCCAAAAAGGGGTTTCTCAGATGATCACAGTCCCACTTTACTCTCTTCTCAGTTTGGTATTTGTGACAGAAAAATATCCAGTCTGATTTTTTTTTTTTTTTTTTTTTTTTGGTACTAGGGATCAAACGCGGGTCCTTGTGTTTACAAGGCAGGTGGCGGAACTACTGAGCTAAATCCCCAGCTCTCCAGTCTGATTTCTAAATCATAACATTTTCAGACCCTCACATTGGCTTAATTATACAAAAAGCCAAGCTGGTAATTCCACATTTGTACTTACCTTGTTCCATTCACTGATTAAATCTTTCGATTTTTCTATAAAAGGTAAAACTGCTTTAAAAAGATGGATCCACTTAGACTTTAAGAATGTGGCTACTCAAAAAAGGTAGACTATTAGACAAGAAAAAGTGTGAGGGAGATTTGGGCAGAGGCTATAAGGGAGGAAAATGGGGTCATGGATATAGTCAAAACATGTTATATGCAAGTATGAAAATACCACAATGAAATGACAATTCTGTAAAATTAATATACACTAAAAAACCATATATATTAAAAGAATGTGGTTATCCATTTTTTAAAGATATAATGTTTCCATTACATAAACTGAGTCATGTGAAAATGCTATCACATCTGGAAAACTCTCGAAGTAGGAATTTACTCTCCGAATGTTTCCGAAGGCCAGAGATACTCACAGTGGTACCACTGACCACACAGAATGTGGAATGTGGCACCAGCTAAGAGAGGGGTTTGTTTCAGCGAGTACAGAGACCTGGCTCTTAAACTCAATTACAAAAACCCATTGTTCCACCTATATGAAGAGAATACTTTAGGGATTCACAATACAGGAATGTAAAAATCTCATCAAATTCTGAGGCAAAGCTGTACTATTTGGTTAGCACTGAAATAAAAAAAATAAACCAGGGACTGCAACGAACTAACCACTTTTTGAGCTAGAACTCCCGGGATAACAACAGAACCCACTCCTCTCAGGGGAGGCCACCAACAATTACCAACTAATCATCACAGCCCAGAAACAGGAAATGACAAAAAAGTAGACCAAAAAAGCTACACCAGCTTTACTTTTAGCCATTAAAGATGCACAACTGAGAACTAAGATGCAGCACAACCCTTTCACTAAGAGGCACACAAGACCTTAGACTGCAGGACTACAGTGCTCACAACACGCGGCAGCTCTGACTCAGCTCTATTAACAGCTTTCAGATTAAGCAAACCTAAACCCAGAGCTATGTACATGCTCTCTGATCGCGCTTAATGACTTCCTAATGTTGAAGGTTTAGAAAAGCACAGTGATTTCTTCTTGAGAACAAGAGTCATCGGTTTTGACCGATACGTGAAGCACTTGGTTAGGAGTGTAATAATCTGGGCATACCTGAGCGGAATATTCATGTGCAGTAAGCATGCTGCAAAGTTGAAATAATGAATGGGAAACGGTATCACAGGAGCAATGGAAAGGGACTGTTCTTCTTGCAATACACAGATTGTTTAAGGGATAACCAAATCGGCCTGGTTCAAGTCATCAAGCTGTCCGAGAAAAGCAAAAGGGGGCAAGCAGTGCCCATCCATCCCTCTCAGTGCGGACTGGGCACAGCAGCCAGGGCTGACTCCCGAGCACCAGGAGGTGGAGACACACCACCCCAGCTCTTCAGGGTCAGTGCTGGCCCCGAACCTTCTAACTGCTGTGCAACTAGGAATGCAAGATAAGGGTAGCTGAAGCACCAGATACAGGCAGGTGTCATCATATGTAATTCAAATGGTCACAACCTTCTGGAGATTTTCCAATGACACTTTCACTTAGAATTAATTAAAATACATAATACACTCTGAACAGCAAATTTTTACAATTTACTAAATTATCAATATTTTAACACTAACAGGAGAAATGCAAAAATGGATTTTAAATTTCTGGGAAATCTTACACACAGAGCACTTTCTTGCATTAGATATACTTTACAGCTTTAAAAAATTCATTATAACCTTTTCTATTCAAAACACTTAGTGACTTTAGTAGCTCAGGGACATCTGCTGCTTGTCTTCACACTGGACACTGATGAAGCCAGATATACTCAAAACTGTACTGCAGTGATGTCTATAAAAATGGGAACAGTGGCTTTACTCGAGTACCTTTTAATTTAAAAAGCGAAGTGTTGAAGAACCCCTCACAAGGTGTCAAGTGGAGCACACATGCAATCTCTGCCCTTCCTCCCCACCCCACTCACCTGGATAACTTTATAGAAATAGGCATACTGTCGAGCTGTGTTTTTATACTGGCTGAAGACATCGTGGATGGCTTGTGTAGACTGAAGACACCGAACTTCCTCCTCTTCGAAGTAGAGAGGAGTGTCATACTCGCTGGGGAGTGTCTGAATGTAGGGCAGCCAGAAAGAGTTGGGGCTGGCTCGCTCACACAGCAGATGGAAGGCCAGTGCGATATTTCCCATGGCTTGAAGAATTCGGTCTTGAGAATATAAGGGCCCTGAATTAACCCAGAAGTTAACGGTATAAGTTCCACAGACTTCTCTAAAAGCAGTCAATCAAAATATATATTAAAATTGTAGGAAAAACTAAAAGGTCCTATAACAGTTAAAGTCACTTGCATCTTTATTTAGACATAAAATGAAAAACATTTAATGTGTACTCGAGGGACTATTTCATCAGTTAAGAAAGCAAACTAAATACAGCACTTAGTACCAAAGTGGAATTTTATATATTTCTATCATTTATACTTTGCCTTAAACAGAAATTATTCTCACCCAATACTGAATTTTTAGCAGATTCAACAGTCATTAGTAATTTTCGTGGAACCCATAAAAACAATTCTTCAGCCTAAAGGAAAAAAAAAAAAAAAGAAAAAAGGAGAATCATCAAAACATGGTACAATTTTCAATCCCATCCTATAATCAAAAATTCATTCAGACGAAATACAACCCAAGGTTCTATCATCAGCAAATATTTTCTAAATATCAGATATATTTTTAAATGTAAGTATTTATATTAACGGTGTACTAACAGAAGTGTAGTTTAAAATCCTATTTGCATCTGGGGATTTAGCTCAGTGGTTCCACCGCCCGCTTCCCAAGGGCCAAGGTCCTGAGTTTGATCCCTGGTACCAAAAAAAAAAAAAAAATTCTATTTGCAGTAGAAAAACTGGAAATTGTATGTACTGGAGAACTTAAGAAAGTAAATAATAAAAAAAGAACTTTCAACTTCAATGAGAAGCAATAACATTTGGGAGTACAGCACAATGGCTGTTCATTTTATTCTTTGTTATATTTATATTTTAAGTCCTAAAAACAGAGCAAAACAATTCCTACCCCTCAAACAAACCCAAGCCTGTCAATGTGAACTGCTCCCACTGCTGAGATTCTGAAGCCAGAGCGATGGTCCCTCCTGTCCCTACCTACTTCAGAGGGCTGAGCCTGTAAGGCACGCTCTGGCTCACTAAATCTTCCACGAAAGTACCACCTTATTTTTCTGGCAACGTGAGATGCTTCTTTTCATGCACTGTCTGTGTTTCCGGATGCTCCCACCTGTGCGCACAGCTCTGGGCCAAGTGGGCAGGTAGCAGGAGGTCAGCTGTGTGCAAACCGAGGTCTGCAAGGGAACCAGCCCAGCGGCACCTCACTTACACTTCCCAGCCTCCACAACAGTAAGGAATAAATGTAGTGTCAGCCCCCACACCCAGGGAACAGCACTCAGGTGAGTGTGACCATGGCTAAGGTATCCCAGGCAGCAACCACACTAAGGCGGCTTCGGCCTGACAGAAGAGGAACACGTGACGCCTTGCCTTGACCAAAGTCTGCCAATTCGATCATTTCTATGTGTAGTGTCGCTTACTATAGATTAGAAACACCCTGAAGGAAGTCACCTTGGGCTTTCTGGAAACAGGGTATGGTAACAAATGAAGTATCATTAACACAGTAGCTATTTATCAAGCAGTGCAGGATTTAGCAGCCTATCAACAAAAGGCTGACTGCACCTTCCCCAAAAATGCTGCAGGTGAGGGGGCCCAAACAATACCCACTCCCTCCACCCCAGGCGTGAACCAACCGAGGGAAACGAGTCCACAGGTGGTCACCCACTGCATCCTAGACCAGATGGGGACTTCCTCCACATAGCTGGGCGCAGGGTGGAGGGCGTATAGCAACCAGCTCCCACCAGCAGACTCCCCGCCCACTGCCTTCTCCCCAACTCGGCTAGCTTGAGCTTTCCTCTGTAGAGGAGGTGGCAGGAGGCCGGGCAGGTCTGTCACTCTGCACGGACACAGCACCTCCTGGGCAGCCGCCTGTTCGGGCGCTGCAGCAGCGCTCACAACATGCCCCGCCCCTAGCACATGTGCGCTTTCCTGGACCCCTCTGCACTGTTCCGTGGTCTCCCAGAGCTGGGCGAAGCCAGACAGCTGGTCCCAGGCCAGGTTAACATGCAGCTCCCGGGAGGACGAGGACCGGGCACCCTGCCTATGTCCCCGCGAGGCTCAACACTGGGCCCAGCCATCTGCCCCACGTGCAGCCCTAAACACCACACATAGTTCAGGCACACGCAGACCCTCAGACCAACCGTTTACAAACTCACCTTGATGTCTCGAGTTGCTCTCAAACCAAAGCCCTCTTCTTTGAAGTTAACCATTTCAAAACCCTCGACAGAGGCCCCATTTTCAGAGGCCCATTTCATTAGATCAGGAAAGTAATCTTCTCTTTTTCCATCAAAAGTAACAGACAGACCTATATTATCCATGTTTGGAAAACAAGAGCTACTTTTAGGACACATGTCATTCACAGAGCTCTCAGAAAATAAAATCAGAGCACTCACACACTGGAACTAGTCTTAGCACTCCAATCTTGAAATAAGCAAATTTAATCACCAGATGGTCACAGTACATACCTCCATAAACTCCAGGAAAGGGGTAGGAAAGCCCTGAAGTCCTGGTCAGTTACAGAGAAGCACATCTTGGTACTTACTGGGTAATATACTAAACATGAGTACCATTACAGAATATGATGGCAAGGAGAGAAAAGCTTCCGTTACTGCCACTGCTGCCTCCCAGAGCAGCTTTCCCCTCAAAGTCTAATACGCATGTCTCATACTCACATTGGCCTGAACAAATTCCTATTGAAACAAAAAGCCATCGCTCACACATATGCACTGGAGACCTGGAAAAGGATGAAAAAGCTCTCCAGCCCTGGTGCAGAGAGCATAAAACTGCAGAGCTCTAGACAGGACACTGTAGGGCAGTTGGAACGAGTCAGAGCTATAGCTATCAGTGTGAGTGAAACACTACTCTAGTTCAGAAACCGTGTTTTCTTAAAAAATCAAGTAAATATGACACTACATAAATGTTTTAAAGGAGCTTACATGGCTATGTCTGTCTTTGCACATTTGAGGTTATGCATGGAGGAGAAAAGCATTCCCAGGGAAGAGGAACACTCCCTGAGGAGGGGGGAATGCAAAGACATGGAACCGTGGGCTACAGCCACATCTGTGCTTTCTCATTTCTTAGAAATGAACACTAAAGCCAAACAAAGGACTGAGGGAGGGAAGAGAAGGAGATTAAGTAGGAAAGAAGGGAGAAAATCCTGAACCAACACAGCTCTGGCCTGTGTTTAACCTGGGTACTAGATTCCCAGGTATATATCATATCTCCTAGACTTTTCAGCCTGTTTGAAATATTCAAAAAGGTGAACAGCCACGCATAGGAAAACCCACTGTGCTCTGATGACTAAGGTGAGGAACAGGCACTTCATAAACATGAAGAAAATGCCCAGCATAGTGCTGTGCCGTGCCATGCATGCAGAGACATTGCTGAGGAAGATACAGGACTTGAGCTGGGCACATGCATAGTCAGGATTCGCTCTTACCCAGGGGAATTAATGAATTCTCTAACTTTGGTGTCAGCCTAAGAAAACCTTATCTGCTCAGAGGAGAAACTTGGGATAGACAAACATTTTTTGGCTGCCTATCTAGTAAGAGAGCATTACCACTCTCTACAGTCTATTACACACATGTCCAAGCTGTGGTCCAAAGGGCTGCTTGCCCTTAAAAAAAAAAAGTTACAATAACAATTAAAATCTACTTATATATGTTAACTATATTGCATCTTTTATATGTGGCCTGTGATGATTCTGCCTCTCCCAATGGGGCCCAGGCAAGCAAAAAGGTTGGCTCCGCCTGATCCTAGTATAAGCAAACACATTATAAAGGGGCCTGCCTGTTCACCACCTGGGAGTCTGAGACCTTCCCAGCTGAAGACTAGGAAGTTACAGGCATGCACAGACAGCAACTGACCTGTCAGTGAGGAAACAAACACAAACAGCCCTCTTCCGACTCCCTTCTGTGACAAGAAAAAAGGGAGTCTAAGAAGGGTTTTCTCACCCTTTTCAGTGCGTGCTCCTGACTGTGTTCTTTCCTTCTACCATGTGGTTCTGCATACCAATCCTCACTTTTTACACTTTACAGAACACAAACAACGGACATACAGAATGAGCCTTTTCAAACTGACACTTAGCACTGCTGCTGGCATGGCTGAGAATCAGTCCAATGGCTACAAAATACACCCTGAAGAAATACAATTCCATCTCCTAGCTAATCAAGATGTGTTGGCACTAATCATAAATACATGATAAGACACAGCCAAGTAGCATATACTTGTGTGAGGGCCACAGGTAGTATATTATGCAATGTCCTAAAATGCTAAAGAAACACAGCATGAAAACAAGATTTAAATAAATAGTTCATAAAATATAAATAAAGTTTAGTGCACGCCCCCACAAACATTTTCCCCTTAAAGCTCAACATTTCTACACTTTGGTCTCAGGAATGGGCATGGTCCAGCAGCCTCCCAGGACCTGCTCTCTCTCCTGGCCCAGGAGCCTTTCTATAGACAAGCACCGACCAGCGGAGGCCCCTCCTACTCTCAAAACCCTGACCCATGCCAAGCTTAAGCTTCCACATGACATTATTACAATTTGATTATTCTAGCAATTTTACCTTTTTGCTTTTTCCGTATTTTCTCAACCAGAGACCGGATTTGCACATACTCTTCCCATTCTCTCCCTGGGCTGGGTGCAGGACTGCTGCATTCTGTAAAGCAAGAGCCATGGCGTGAAACACTCCTCTCCTTCATCTTAACCCACCTGTCTGCACAAGGAAGAGGGTTTGCAGTTTGTTGGCTCGCATTTAAAGGCCAGGGTGATTCACCTCTGCTATAGACAGTAAATACGCAACATTCAAGTATAACGCAATACAGTTTTCAAAACACATAAACCCTCTGAAACCTACAAGTGCCCTCATTTAGCTGTAACCCCACCGCTCTCCTGCCATGTGAGTGCCTAACTCCTAGTATACCTGTAAACAGGTAAAATCTAAAAAGCTGAGCTAAAAAAATGAAATCTTTCCCCAGAATTCTTCTACGTGGTAAAAAGAAGTCATCTTCTTAGGTAGGCACCCTAACAATGACTCTCTAAGGAAACCAGTTAAATTGGACATAAGGGCAATTAGTCAACAAACGTTTCACATCCATGTGTCCGGCTCTATATTAAGCACTCTGGGGGAGTTCCAAAAGAGATGGCATCGATGCCACTAAAAAAGAAGTTAAGATCCAGAGCCAGACAGGGGAGGGCTGCTGTGCAGTGTGGACCCCAGCCCTGGCCTAGACATAGCCCCTGCCTTCTTCCATCACGCCAGATTAAAGAGGGAGGCCCCTCCCATGCTCCTCGAACTTCATGCCTCCCTCTGCTCAAGGAAACAGAAGATGTGGCAAATAATTAATGCAAGCTGGTTATGGGCTGACCCCTAACTTTCAGGTTAACCAGTTTGACTTCACGCTTCCATCCACAGGCCCTGACCACAGCCCTGGCCGGCAGGTGAGGGGCATAAACACAGCCAAGCTCGGGGGTTCCTGGGGTCACACATGGAACGGACCCTGACTGCTTTCTGACAGTGAGGAAAAGCTGGACTTTTCTTGGAGGTTAAGCTATCATACAAGCCAAACACAGGACAAAGGTTAATGGAGTGATCACAGCTAAACAGTACCAATTTAAATTCTTAATTTTAAAAAGTTACCAAACTATACTAACTTACTAAAGCAAGGTTAGGCACTTGACATATTGCTTTCCTTCAAGCAAGAGCTCTCGGACTTCAGCCTGCAAATCAGATTGCTATTACATAACCACTAGGGCTGGGCCAGCTCTGCTGGAGCAAGCTGCTGCCTGAGCGGCAGGCCAGCCTTGCTAGGCTCGTGGGGCCCACACCAGCTACATCTTCCCATGCTGAGCTCAGCAGCTCCCTCATCACGCTCCCGCCACGCTCCTAGTCAGCTGCCTGTGTTCACTGACAGGAGCACAGAGCCTCAGAGGAATCTAAACCCACCGTGCCAAGTGTGCAACTAGCTTGTTCTCGCCCCAGCCCTACAAGAGGACCCTGTTCCGCTGTGAGCTACAGAAGCCCTATGCCCAACAGTCCCATGTCCCAATAGGTAGCGGCATCCCCATCTTCACCAGAGGACTGCAAGTGCCCAAGTGGCGCGGCTCACCACCCGGAGTGGAACACAAGCTTGTCTGACATGTGTTTGTGTCCAGGGAAGCCTGACACCGCCAGGCACATGCAGTAGGGACAGCAGGCAGCACTTACTCTGCAATAGCTCGCTGGTCAGGTTCAAGATTTCCTTCGGAGACACACTGGCTGCGGCCCCCGTGCCTGATTTCTGAGTTTTTACTCGACTCTTCTTACCCATTTTCTAACTACAGAGGAGAGAGAAGAGACAAATTACACCACCACGGGACAAAACCAAGTAATAAAATGTGGCACAGCGGCGTTCTCATCATGAGACACTAAGATCTTACCTGGCAATGTCCTGAAGGTTCCTTCCAGAAAAAGAAATGTGTGCTATTAGTATTTGAAGGCTCTCAAATGGGAAACTTAAAAGAAAAAAATCTGCATGGCAGTCTCTAGAAGAAAAGTTCATTTTTAAAATTTACAAATGACCATAGAATAGCAAATTTTATTCTGGAATGTTTTAACTACATAGATTGTATTGTGCATAATAAATATACTAAATGTTTATTCCACAACACTACAGGCACAACCATGATGTACATGTGGGGCACACACATGATCGATCACAACGGCATTGAGATACAGATGCCTCTGCCCGCTTTCCTTTAAAAGAATCTTTTCCCACTAGCAGGAACTGCATCCTAAGCAGAAGATTAGACTTTCTGGACAAAAGGTGTAGAATGCTTATTCTCTCACTCTAAGAAAATCACTGATTTCACTGTAATCAAATCAATGTACCAAGTCAAGTGCTAAAATAATGGAGAAAAGCTGAAGACATTCCAGAGCTCAATGAAACCTGAGAAGATATCTAATTCCTGCATTCTGTCCCACGGAAAAGCCCAAGTGTCTTGCCCAGGGCTTTACCAGAAGGCCATGGCACACAGCACCTTCTAATCTGGCACTGCAGCCACCCAGGAGTATTGTTATCATTGGACACTGAGAAATGACCACAAGATCTCCAGGCAAATGAGACAAACCAGTGGCATTCTGGGTAAAGTCCTCTACACAGTGACGTCTGTCTGGAAATGTTTTATAACAGTAAGTCTCAAAGGAAGGAGCTTGGAGGTATGCAGAAAGGGCTGAGCAGTGCAAGGGCAGGACAGAACTGAGAAGCATGCAGAAGCCACAGTGAAGAGAGGCACCTCTGGAGAAGCTGAGAGGCAGGGGCCCTACGGACTGCAGCGCGTTAGGAGGGCAGCCCACGAAGATGGACACAGTCCAGCCAAGAGCCAGTGGAGCCACAAAGAACAAGCCACCCCAGTGACATCTGCACTGGAGCTCCTGGCCAGGGAGTCACACGTGACCTCAGGGCAGAACCCAAAAGCATACACTGGCCCATTTGTTTGTTATAAAAAGAAACAGCTGACAGGCAGTGTCTGGTGTAGTCCAGGGGTAGAGTGCGTGCTTAGCATGTGCAAGGCCCTGAGTTCAAGCCCCAGCACCAAAAAAAGAAGTGACTATTACTGTGGGGAGGTGCACAACAGGACAAAAGGTTTAGAATGCATATTCTCTGATTCCACTGTGATCGATTCAAAGCATAAAGCCAAGTGTAAAATAATGGAGACGGGCACTCCTTACTGAGATGTGTACCTTCTCTCATGCATCTAATCTATAATGGGTTAATGTGGAGCTTATGCTGTCTAGTAAGACTTCTAAGAGAGAAGCACACAGTATGAGTCATCCTGGAATAAACGGGTACCAGTAAAGATACTTAAAACTATTGCAGAATTAAAAGGAATTAGTAGTTTTGTGACCAAAGGCAGAGAACATGGAGGGACGGGAAGTTCAAGCAGCTTTGCCTACAGTGAAGGGTCATCTTCTTAAAGGGAAAAAAGCTCCCTCCCCATGTTCCTTATCTGAGGCCAGGAATGGCACAGGGTGGACAGAGTCCCCACCTCCTGTACACTTCAGCCTCCTGGGGCTATGGGGCATCTCTGTAGAGGACACAGAACTCAGTCTGAAAACAGCCAAAGCCACCGAGGAGCCTGGTGTAAGGACCTTCATCATTTCCAAATATAGCAGATCTGCTGGCCCGGCAGGAAGAAAGGCAGAGAGCACTGTCGGCAACAGCTCACCAGGCCTCTTCCTCCAGCCCTGCTGACACAACCTTCTGTCCTGGGAGGCTCTCATGATTCAGGATCACTCAGAACGGGCCCTACGGATGAGGAGCTCTGAAGCCCTGGCCATCCACCAACAGGAAGGGCCTGCCAAGCCTGGAGACCTGCTGCTCACCCAGGGCTACAAAACAGGCTTTCCTGGCTCCCCAGTCTTCCCCTGACGTCTGCCCAAATCCAGTGGCTTGTAAAAGCAGCAGCAGCTGCTGCCCTGTGTTTGGTGCCCACCCTGTGCCAGGAAGCAGGTGAAATACAATCTACCGCACAATGTCCCTGAACACTTGGAGCTGTCCGAATCATCCTCATCTCTTGGATATCTGCAGGAAGGTGAAGGCCTTTCTCTCTACCCGAGGTCATGAATCATCACGTAAGAGACAGAGCTAGATCAGAACTCGGCACCAACCCACGCTGCCTCTGTACAGACAGGAAGCACGCAGCGTGGCAGGGTTCAGAGGGCTAAAAGGCTCCCACGCTGGCACCACATGATGCTGAGCACACCACCACCTCTCCCCTGCCTCCTCCCACACCTCCTGAATCCACCCTCTGCTTAGACCCTGCCGCACATCTCTTGCACATCTCCCTGCCTGCCGCTTAGCTCTACCCTCCCTCTGCCACCAGCCTCCAGCACCAAGCTCCAGTGCGCCCTGCTCGTCTGTCCCTCCGTGTCTCTCATCAACCCTTCAGTCAGATGTTCACAACTTGGTTTTCCTCCAGAAAGCCTGTTCAGACAATGGCAGAGACTTCTGGTCCTCCTAGTCTCTGCCTGAAAAACTGGCTCACACACCAGGTCCCCAAAAGGGCTCCCTGAGGGCAGCCTCCCGTCTCATTTACACTCCCAACCCCACCTTTAGCCCAGAACCCGGCAGACAGCAGTCATGGAGGGCACTATCCAGAGCTCACAGGGGGAAACATCTGCACAGTTCTCACCTGTGTTTCTAAGGCTTCTATTCAAGTTTCTATTCCCTGGGAACATATATAAAACACCATTCCAGTGCCACATGAGACATGGTTAGATACATGGTCATGACAATTTAAAAGCACAGTAAGATTCCTTTGGCAGTTATTCTCCTATAGTTGAATACTTAGGATTTAAATGGTCCTCAAGGTTTCTTTTTTCTCCAGTCAGAAAAGTGCTGGCTCCTACAAATAGTAGTAAGTGTAGAAATACTGCTGCAGTGAGTTAGCCCCAGGAGAGACACCCTGGGGTGTCATCTTCAGAAATCCTGTGGGCTGTGCCCTGTCCCTGAAGCCACTCCTGGTTACACCTTCCCAGTGTCCTCAACCCCTCCCCATTCACTTCCTGCCTCCAGCCTCCTAGTGGGCTGCAATGTCTCCACACAACAGAGCAGGACACAGCAGCATGTCTTACCTGCAGGCCCACAAGGCCACCACCCTTGTGGCACCTGGTCTCAAGTCTTTCCCAGGTCGGATCCACCCCACCAAATAACCATTACTATGACCTCTATTATCACCAATCAGTTTTCCTTTTCTTGAACTTCAACCAAATGGAATTATACTCCAGGCAGGCTTCTTCCACTCATGCCCTGTTTTCCACAGCTCACGGGATAACCCTGATCCCCCTAGCAAGGCCTTGCCTCCTTTTACCTGCCCAGCATATTCTACCCATCCCCTGCAGAGCACAGCTCCAGTGATTTGTTCCGATCCTCCTTGTTTCTGGAATGAAGCTGTCCCTATCTAATCCCCTATCTTCTGCTAGCAAAATTGTTCACATACTGAGACCCAGTCAAAAGGTCCCCCATGGCCTTAAGGGAAATTCTAGACTCTTCCTACTTATAGCACTCAGGCCCATGAAAGTCATCCCATGAAAGGGTCAAACTCAAGGTCATTAACAGATGCCAAAGGCAAACTGGCTTGTCTTGGGATCCAATCTTTTGGAAGTCATGGGAAGGAAGGAATACAGGCTCTTCGGGAGAGAAAGCGGCTGGCCCTGCTGTAGACAGAAGATTCTCCATCTTAGGTGGGGAAAGAGGGTTCCCTGTCCCTGTCTTCAGTACCAGGCACTCCCTGAGGCCTCAGCTTCCTGCAATGAATCCATGCAGCCAGGGGCACAAGGCTTAGCCTTATGTTTACTTTGAAATTTAATCTTGGAGTCAGTCAGATATGCTGGCACATGCCTGTAATCCCAGCACTCTTGTGGCAGGAGCATCACTGCAAGTTTGAGGCCAGCCTGAGCTACAAAGCAAGTTCAAGGCCAGAATGGACTGCATAGTGAGACCCCATCTCCACAAATGAAAAACAAAGAATTTTGTCTCTGGAGGACAGGAATGTCTCTCTGCACAGTCTGATTATCCAGCAGATGCGCCTCTGAACTTAGAGCACAAATGTCCGTAAAGTCCATGTGCCTCTCAATTCGATATAATTTGGCACTCATTCTGGTACTGGGACATCGCTAACTCAAAGCACCTTGAAAGAAAAGGCCTGACATTTGTTTCCTTCCACCCTACAAAGCATGAGGCTTTCTGCCGCAGTGGCCCACTCCCACGACGTGGGCTGGCTGTCAATCTCACTGTTCAGCCTGGCCGTCACTCTCACTGTTCAGCCTGGCCATCCTCCTCACACCTTTCACCTTTCGGGGAGCTTCAGGAGTCCTTAGGCTCGCCAGGGTCTCCTCCCCACCTTCCCCAGCCCAGCCTTGAACCTCACTCAGCGAGCTCACCCACACAGGTCTAGACTGTCTGCATGCTGACAGTCCTGTGGCAGAAAGAAACCAAAGCCTGCGTCTCTGCATTACCTTCAGAGTCTAGCATGGTCACAGCAGATGGTCAAATATTTGCTGAATGAAGAAACTCTGATACCAAGTTTAGATATATTAGCATTACTAATTTTGAGATTTTTTTTCCACTAGCAGTAAAATGAAAGCCTGACTTAAATATGTAACTGGTTCTACTAAAGAACCAGGACAACTCTTAAAAGTAAAAAACTACAAATGTATCCAAAGGTAGACAGGTTTGCCGTACTGTGCAGATCATGGATTAGGGTCAGGGTTAACCTTATACACTATCACACTTTAAAAGGAGTTTACTCTAGAAATCCATAGTTTACAACATGGA